ATATATGTGTGTGTGTGTGTGTGTGTGTGTGTGTGTGTGTATGTGCGCGCGCGCGTGTGTGTTTGTATGAATACATAAGGTAGGTAGACGTAAACAGACACATTTGACAACACATAACCCGACAGAAATAATCATTTCTGCGTCCCTTAATGACAAGAATATTACTTGCACTGTATATTGACGAGAAGATCGACTAGAAGATCTGAATTTACCTGATCCTCATCATGAAGTAGGCAAACACAGCGACTCCACAGAGATACGGGATGGAGGAAACACTGAACATCTTGAATCATGAGTTGAAAGCGTCGAAAGAGCGTTCAGCTAAGTTCGTGTACTCTCTCTTCTAGTCTATAAATTGAACACTCTCATCTACAAAGTAAAGATGTGATCTCAAACTTTTCAATTTTTTTTGTTGCTATCTGCAATTAATACTTTCGATTTCAGAGCAAGGTATTCTAAGCCCTTCTCATTGATATTATTACATAGTCGGCTGTGTTTGAAACTTGAAAACCTACGGGGTCGTATCAATATCCTGAGCAGTGTTTCTCATTTTACATTTTATTAATGTTTAAACCTGCAGGTATCAAAACTAGATCCCCTTTCACAAGATCTCTACTTTGTTATAAAGTATACAGACTGTAGGGGGTTCTCGTGGTCTAAAGTTCAATATGTGAGGCAGCGTGGTGGAATCAAGCTCTCGTCAAAATAATCAAAGTGAAGAAACTTGCATTTTTCCGCAGGTTTGTGAATTTTTATCAAATTTGTGTTTTTTTTGGCTCAACACCTTTCATGCCCATTAAAAGAACTCATTTCTGTGTGGATGTTTCCTGAAAAACGTTAATTAAAGGCACAAAAATGTAAATGTTCAGTTACCACGGACTCTTAAGCTAAGGAAATAACTCATCTTTGGCGGCCATTTTCTCACTAACTTTACCTCTGAAAACAGGTGACACCCACCTCCTTCATTCGCAAATATCGAGACTTGTTTTCCAGATAAATTGATATTTTTTTCATCCAAATAAAGGCAAGTGAACAAGCTTTAAGATGATACCAATAACTCCAGATGCCCCAAAATTGACCGGCGCCTGATTCCACCACGATGCCTCACATATGTTCCGGGTTCGAAACCTGACACTGACGGACATTTTTCTCCTCTAAGATTGTCTCCTTTCACCTCCTTTCCTGCTCTCTAACCATGTTCTGTCGTCTGCTTGTGTCTCCTCTTTCTGTCCCACCCCACCCCTTTACCCACTC